GGTCAAGGATGGGGTGGGGCCGCCGGCAGGGGTCCCGCTAACGCAAAGGATGAACATTTTGCCAGTAGCTGCGCCTCCCTTTCTCATCGTCCCCCACCCCACCCCGACCGAATAACAGCAGTGTCTAAGGCCAACACTCTCCCACACACACCCCCACTCACACTCACACTCACACCCGTGTTGGCCACATGGCCGTCCTTTTGTTTTTTGTTTTTGTTTGTTTTTTCTATTCCTTCTTGGAAACGGGGCTGATGCTTTCATGATGAGGACCGGTCGTTGGGTCGTCATATCGACAGACCGCACCGACCAGAACGACCGGTCGCTGGTTAGAAACAACAGCCGCCATCTTCGCCGGCCATGACTGCAGAAGACGGAGATCTCCGAACAGTTCGCCTCGTGTTCTTTTTTTATTTTTATCCTGATTATTTGTTTCCTGCAAAACGACAAAATCACGGATGTCAGACCGTTCCTTCACTGCGCTCCACACCACGTCACCCTCCGCAATCTCTCTGCTCCCTTTTTTCTCCCCCTTTTTTTTCTTTTCTTTTCTCTCTCAGACTGGTCTCTCAGGGGCGAGGTCCCATTAGCAGTCGGATAGGAGTGTGGCCGATCCAGTGTGACACCGAGTGGCAGCGGCCAGACAACTTCATGAGGAATTTCTGGGCTGAGAAAACAGGAAAAAGGACCAAAAAAAAAGAAGAAACAGAGACCTCTCACCGGAAATCACAGCAGCGTGCTTCCCAGCCATCAGATCACAAATGATCTGATGGTGGTGGTTGCAAAAACAGTGAGCAAAGTAACCGCCACATTTTCTGGAAAAAACTCGACTTCTGACAGCAGTGATCCTGACACCCTCCATATACTCCGTGATTGAGGGAGGGCTCCACCCAATGAGATAATTGCACTACAGCAAGTAAAATGCCGAAAATCTTCTATCCAGTGGGCTAAGGCCGACCCCAACCTCGTTTGGGGTTGGGCACACCCCCAACCGATTGAAAAGATTCTGGCGGGAAGCTGTCTTTGCACGGGCATGCCCAGTGTTAAGGAGAGGAGGAGGGGAACGAAGATCTCCTTACTTTTTCGGGTAATACATGTAAAATACTGACGGTGGGATCATGAGTAGTGCACGGCAGGATTTGGGTCACTCAACTGTCCCACAAACTCGTTTCTATCCTAGCCCGTTGCTAGTGGGACCTCGCCCCAGGTGCCTTTACGCTTCTCTTCCCCAAGGACGTGCCTCTCTCTCTCTCTCTCTCCCTTTCTCTCTCTTTCTCTCTCTCTCTTTCTCTCTCTCTTTCTCTCTCTCTCTCTCTCTCTCTCTTGTGGGTGTGGGTGTGTGTGTGCGCGCGCGCGCGCGCGCACGCAGGATTTTATTTACCGTTCGGTTCCCTGTTTCTCTCACTCGGGGGCCTCCCTTCAGATGTCATCGTCGAACCGACCAGCCCCAGATAATTCAGAAATTATCTTATTTCATTCATCTAGTAATTTAATTTTTAAATCCAGCTCCCCCCCCCCAAAAAATGTGTTTTTTAAATCCAGCGGGATTCGAGCCTGGTCGGTAGTTCAGCAGATCATGGGTGTACGAACTGAGGGCCTACTCACACACCACTCTCCTCAATGTATCTTTCCATATTACGGCTCTACCTTAATGAATCCGACCACAATTGCGTCGAGAAACAAGTGAAAACGTCCTGGTGTGTGCGTATGCCCTGAGCTAGGTCCGTTGGTTATCCAGGGGACCCCTGCAGTCATATAGCTTCTTACTTCTCTTTGGTGAAGGGAGGGAGGTTACCTCTCTCTCGGGGCTAGGTCCCACTTACACGAATTAAGCGACATTGACGGTAGATAACAAAGATCAACGGCCATAATCGCTTAATCTGTGCAAGTGGGACCTTGCCCTCGGTGGAAAGGGGTAGCGGCATGTTTGCCCCTTTGCCGCAGCGTTCGGGTTGCAGGGTTGGGGCTGCCGGTGGGGAACCGGCTGACACAAGGACCGTCGAGCATTTGCCAGTAAATGTGCATCCCCCTTTCCCCCTTTTTCAACTGCCCGCACCCCCATCAAGCAAAATAAAACAGTAGTGTCTAAAGCCAAAGCCAACACTCTCCCACACACCACACGCACCCAGTCACACGCGCAGTCACACCCTTCATGGCTGGCTGAGGACCTTACTGATACCGACCGACTGGGAGGATCCAGCTGACTATCTCAGTGGGTTGGCACCAAGAGTGCCATAGAAGGCCATGGGGATTGAACCCACAACCTCCTAAATGCCACTTGCGTGTGCCTAACCAATTAAAAGCTAGGCCGCTGGATCTTCTTTCTTCTTCTTATTTATTTATTTATTATTATTATTATTTGTTTTTAATAATTTGGACCATTTCTCGATTTATGCGTGTCATCCTTGCTAATTACCCTTTTCTGTATCATTCCAATTTTAACGGATGTCCCGCCGAAGGACTCTTCTTCTTCTTCTGCTGCTGCTGCTGCTGGTTCTTGTTTTTTCGGATCTTTTTGTTTTTCAGATTTGTTTTTTAATTATTTTTTTAGTTTTTATTTTACAGAATTTTCCGATCTTTTTTTTTTCTTCTTCTTTTTCTTTTTTTTAAATTTATTTATTTTTAATTATTATTATAATTAAAAAATATATATTATTTATTTATTTTTACCGACCTTTTCTCTAACTATTCGCTATAGAAAAAAAATAAAAATAAGAATCTATTTGTTTTGCAAGCGCGCGATGAAGCGAAGCCTCGCGAGCGCCGAGTTGGGAACACCGGATTCCCTGGTCAGAAGGAGAGGGAGGAGGATGGGAGAGAGAGGTTATAGATCGCAGGTCTCTCCTCTGACCAGAACCATTGCGTATTATACGCCGTGGATTAAGCAGATCAAAGGGCGCCGCTCGCTTCCCTGTAGTTGCAGAAGCAGAAGATGAGTTCGAACTCAACTCAGCTTCTGAATTCGAACTCATCCTCTTCTGCTTCGCAAGATTCGCTGATCAGTCAGAGATCGACGGCAGATGTGTTTGTTTGGCCACGACTGACCTCCTCCTCCTTCCGCGACCACAACGCACGCTGATCATGCCTGTATACAAGCGATCTTTCCGGTCAGATAGAGTCGGGATTCCGGTGAGATAGAGTCGGGATGAGGGTTCGTTGTGTGCTGGGGAAGACACTGCACGAACGATAACCAGAGAGTTGGGGCCTCGCTGCACTACTCTCGACATGCACAAAAGACAAAAGTATTGCCGGTGTATCTTTCCATATTCTAGCGGAAGATTCACTGCCGTCGATAGGCCAAGGCGGCGATCGCAACTCTCCCCATTTTTTTTTTCTTTTTTCTTTTTTTTCACTGTCGATAGCTTGGCACGCTTCTCCTTTTTTTTTTTTTTTTTTTCCTTTTTTTTTTTTTTGGTGTCTTGCATCAACATTCAAGTTTCTTTCGCACTCTTCACCTCTGTGTGTCTCTTCGGCGATCCTCACACTAGGACTTTTCTGGATGTACGGGACCGGTATTCCAACCCCGCGCCTGGATGCACCTGGCTCCAATCACGTCCACAGAGAAGTGGAAAAAGTCCTCGTGTGTGTTTGTACTATGCCCTTCCTGTCGTTTAGTTCATATGAAACCAGTTGATCCGTGGGAGAGAGAGGAGGGAGGAGGGAGGAGGAGTCGGAAGATGAGGGAAGATCAAAAGGGGGATGACGGAATTGGAAGGAAGAGATAACGGAGGCTAACGGAGGCTAACGGAGGAAGACAGACAAGGCAGAAGAGGGCGAGTAGCTCGAAAGGAAAGAACGAAGGGGAGAGGAGAAGGAAGGGAGGACGACAAGAAAGCAGGAAGGAAGGAGAGGTAGTGCATGGTGATGATGAGTGGGGGCGGACAAAAAAAATAAAAACTTTTGTCTTTTTCCTTTGAGGATTAAGTTATATAGCCGACAGTCTACTTGCTTGTAGGCTAGGATTAAACTATCTCTCCCCTTTCTCCCATGACATGGTAGTGGTAGCGGTAGGCGCTTCCTCGAGAGTGTGCTATCGTAGAACACAATAGACTTACTGATTGATTCATTGATTGGTTGATTGATAGATCGATGAGTCTATAAGAGTTTTTCAAGATCGTTAACTTAGTCTTTTTTAGACGTCTCAAGCGGTGGTGGTCCCACTCTCAGCTCTCTGTTATTGATCTGGCAAAGCTGTTGTTTGAGCCGTCGATTTTGTTAAATTTTGGAGAATTCAGTCCGTTAATCAACGTGAATGTGAGTGTACACATCTGTTAGCACACGGTATCCCGACTGTGTAATTCCGACTGCTCTTAGCTACTTGATTAGACAACGAATCGTTTGTCGACAAGCAAGCAAGAGAGAGAGAGAGAGAGAGAGAGAGAGAGAGAGAGAGAGAGAGAGAGAGAGAGAGAGAGAGAGAGAGAGAGAGAGAGAGAGTTGAAGGAGATGGCGACAAGTGATAGCGCGCAGTCTGAGGTAGGTGAGATGAAGAGCAAAAGCGCAGCTACTTCGAGTGCGGAGGAGAGGAGGAACATGGAGGAGAGTTCGACGACAGACAAGGGGAGGAGGGAGGAGGGGTTGGAGGTGCAAGAGAGCGAGTTCCGCGCCGAGCTTCTTCACACCATTCCCGTCTGGTATCCGTGGGGAAGGAAATACGCGAAGAACATCAAGTGTCACACACAGCGAGGGGGGCGATGGGTGGTCGCAAAGGAGGGGGAGGAGAAGAAGAGGGTGTGCGGGAATCATGGTCATGGGTCTAGACGAAGCACAGCATGGACGAAGGACTCCGCAGCCTCCTCCGCGGGGTCGGCGGAGCCCCGCGGAGTCGGTGGCGCCGACGGCGGCGTCTCTTCCGCCGCCCCGGAGTCCTCTTGCTCTTGCTTGTCGCGTAGCCAAACCCCCATGGACCACATTTGGACATCATGGAGGGGACCTCAGCCCCTGCCTGCGTTTCACAAGTTGAGGAAGGGAATCGGCAAATGGAGAAACAAAGCTATCGATGCAATGTGCAGCGATCGATATGTTTACTTCTTCCCATGGACACGGCGCGGTACGTCCTCCTCCTCCTCCTCCTCCTCCTCCTTTCATGCACTCTACCTCTCCCTGTGTGTGTGTGTTGATGTGTGTGTGTGTCTGTGTGCGTGCGAGCGTGTGTGCGTGTGCGTGCGTGCGTGCGTGTGTGTGTGTGTGTGTGTGTGTGTGTGTGTGTGTGTGTGTGTGTGTGGTGTGTGTGTGT